CCTTCCGTAGAGCCTGATACGTGGTCTAGTGATTTGATAGATACTCCCAGTCACGGAGCTGGTAGAAGATCCACAAAAGACCTATCTTCAACGCACCCATTCAGCTCTTCTGTGACCTCTTCTCTGGACAATCGCGCTCCAGCTCGTGGAAGAAGATGGCAAACACAGCGATAAACATTCTCCAATTCATAAGGAAGGAATCTCCGGCAACTCGCTAATATTTCAGCGTATTAAAGGTCGCTCTAGAATGGATAGCAGATCTCATCCTGTAGAAAGCCCTAATATAGAAGAACATAAGAAACAACCACGAGTCTCCCTGTGTCGCGGCGCTACTCTGATAAAAGTAAAGGGAAAACGGACTAAGCTACATTAGACGCGACGACCCTAGTCTCCTCCGTCGAGGCCACACTATCGGCCTCTTTGTCTCCGCATCCTTCAGCTGAACAACCACTGCAGTGAAAATCAGACACTCTGTCTTCTCCGACAAAGCGATCCGATCCCGAAAGGAAGAGCAGCATTGAAAAGAATACTACACAGTAACTGCCTCTGTTGCCCAAGAGGCTATGCCAAACCATTTCGCTCATCAAACTTTCCGTCTCATCGGAGACTCTTCTCAATACCCACTCGAAAACGTCGGGATGGACTAATAGTATCGCAGCAAGGACAACACTGTCGAAAAGTACTGGATGATACTTTTCAGAGTGTCCAAATGGCCGCGCCGTCTTAACGTCATCTTGCACATGAGCCGTTCTACATAGCCTACGGAGATTCGTCGCGACTATCGGTTGCCAACACGGATCATCTGTGACATCGGTCAGCCATTCAAAATCCAAGCAGTGCTACGCTCCTCTAGAGCCTCCCGTCGATGAAGATGTCGTCGACTTCTGCACTACCACAGGTATGCAAATGAATTCATTCCAAGCCTGAGTTCATGGGAAGGTGAAATCTACGAAGAGATGATCGACATTTTGGAGGAGACCTCACAGGAAGGCGATTTGCAACAGGCTAATCGACATCGAAGAAAACTGCACGATAGCGATGAAGCAGAAGCCATCGTCAATACTAGACCACTGACGTATTATACAAGTGACATAAGCTACATTCTCCTTGCCCAGTTGACTTCTTGCGAAGTTACACCCGGCCCTGGTTCATAGCCGTCGGAAAAGGGCGCCGAAGGGATCCCACAAGAAACTACACGAGACACTTTGCTGAGAGCTTGGAATCACACACCAGAGTTCGTAATCACTTTCTGGGAGAGGTCTTTTCATGAATACCTGTGTTTCCCCAACAAAGCTTCACGTTCCAGCATAAACAGTCTCATCACACGAGCAGAATCCACTAAAACGTGGGGACTACGTCATCATACCGACCCGTCTTCACATCGAGATCAGTGGAAAATGGGAGATAGTAGAGGCTCAGAGGACTTAGAACGGTCTGTCGAAATACTCCTACCTTCGAAGAAGATCATCACTTGACCACACAACTTAATCTACCAATTGAAAGTTGATTCTCCAGGTTTGTCGCAAGAAAGCTCGTCAAAAGGTGCTGCACTCCGATGAACATCGGCAACGACATCCTATTATCCACTATATAAAAACGGCAATGTATGTCTGTCTGTCGAGATGCGTCTACCTTCGAAGAAGATCATCACTCGACCAAAGTCCAACGTCTGTCTGTCTGCGTGTCTGTCCAGAGATTCGGCTTCATCTGAATAGCCGGTTTGGGGACGGGTCAAGGGCGGGATGGGTAGCGCATGGGCCAAGATGTAGGGAACACACATGAGCCAAGCTAAGCCCCGCCCACTGTGGGCGGGGCGTGCGCATAGTTGTGAGCTACATATTTCAAAAATTCGTAAGTCGGTTCCAAAAGAGCCCGAAGAGTGGAAAATGTGGGAAAGGATAGGCAAGGTGCTGGCTGACGGAGTGAGTGAGAAACACCCATTACGGTGGGGGGGGGTGGCCTCCTATAGTTGGCGGTGCTGACCACAAAACTTCCAAAAACTCGTAAATCGGATCCAGAAGGGCTCGCAGAATGGGAATGAGGCACACGAAAGGCAATCATTTGGCGTACGAAATGAGTGAGACACACCCATTATGGGCGGCGCTGCTATAGGTGGACGGTGCTTGCTACAAAATTTTTAAAAACTCGTAATTCATTTCCAAAATGGCTCGGAGAGTGGAAAATGTGGGAAACGGTATAGAATGCATAGGTGGACGGTTGAGGGAGGCACGCCTGCTATGAACGCGGCCTGAATCAGGATTTCATGTTAGTTTTAGCATGCGTGCTGCATTGGACAAGCTTCGGTCAAAGTACTAAATACCTACTCTACGAATAGGCAAACTATCACTTTTTTTAAGTACACCCGGCTTCGTCCCGATAATCTGATAGGCTGTGCGTACTCACGCTAAACAGCTGGAAGCAGCCGAACAGCACGAAAATACTGCTCTACGGCATTAACGTTCAGACACATCAACGCGCTCTCAAGAATCTCCAGGATATGTAGAATATGAAAAAGTGGGTCACCCGGCTGCGAGACTCCTACCGAGCACGATTCCTCTCTGTTTATTCGTCCTTTTCCTCCTGACGTTTTGGCAATAAATACTCGTTATCCAGGCGACATCAAGATCAAGAAGCAGTTCTGTACGCAACTCACTGCGCCTCATAAGGAATCGCAATCACAAGATACGGAGAAAGGGAGAAACACATCATGTGCTAGTTCCCTGTCTCCCGTCCAGTGGGACGCATACGTTTCGACCTTTCAAGAACACCTGCAACCTTATGCGGTAGCACATGTCAGTGCCCAAACTGGACTACTTCTCGTTCTTCCAGTATAATCCAAGAACAGCACTTTTGGAGCTCAGTAAGCTTCCACCGCCATTTCACCAATATCATCTGGATCACGTCTGTCCTTTCAATTTCACATCCACATGCGACTTAAAGAAAGTATTGGAGTTCCCAATCAAGTACAACTATCCTACTAATATAATCGGCGTATGTCCGTGTGTGTAGTGTGTGCGTTCTGTCTTAGTTTGTCNCGAAAAATTCATAGCACCCGAAGAAGAGCTTGGCGGGGTTGGGTCAGGGTGGATGGGTAGAACATGGGACAAAACCTAAATAGTACCTATGACCCATGGTAAGCCCCGCCCACAGTGGGCGGAGCGTGCGTCCAAATTTAGCGATGTCACTGGAAAAGGTCATAACTCGGTCTCAGAGCAGTCCCGTTATGGGGAAACAGTGCAGTAAAGTTAACAAAGGCCTGACCGACCGAACAGAAGAGACACACCCGAAAGGGGCGGAGCGTTCTCGAGATGGGCGGCGCTTTTAGGTAACTCGGTTCCCGGAAATGTTTAGAGGTCGCAGAAAACTCTATGACGAAGATGAACATCTGTCAAGAGTCCACCATGTTTGCGGAGTACTAAAGCCCGCCCACAGTGGGAGGGGCGTGCATTTGAACACGAGATACCATTGCAAAAAACAGTAATTTGGTGCTAAAGCACTACGGATGGCGCAAAAAAGTGGACTATGGCCCCAAGTGATCACATGCAGGAATGTGTGAAGCACTTCCGCTGTGGGCGGAGAGCGTGCCCCAAGGTGGGTGAAGCCAGCTTCAAAAAACCGCAAACGCTTCCAGAGCACTCCAGACACCAGAAAAAAGTAGTTTAAGGTCATCGAGGGGCCATTGTTTGAGAAGCGCGAGGCATGCGTTGTGGGCGGAGCGTGCCCCGAGGTGGGTGGAGCCAAACCTAAAAACTTTGCAAAACGCTTCCAGAGCACTCCAGACACCGGGAAACAGTAGTCTGAGATTAGTGAGGGGTCATGGCGAAGCGAAAAACTCCTAATGCTCTCAGAGCACTCCGAACACCGGAAAAAAGTAGCCCACCAGAACGAAAACAAAGACGGAGGTGAAATAGAAGGAGCTCAAGGGAAGAAGAGGGGTCACGCTTCATTTTCAATCCGATATTATTTGCATTCGATCACTCGCCAGTCTGAGTCGACCAGTACAACATCCAGATTTCCAGGCGGGCATTGAAATGCATGGAAGAAGGTAAGGCATTATTCACACTCTGAGACCCTGGCGAAACGGCGCTTCGGCGAAAAACACAAAAACACTCATTGATTGGAGAAGCGCCAACCGCCCTGTTCGACGAACCGCCACGGTTCTGTGGTTGACGAAAAGCAATAGACCGCAGGCGCAGGCTCCACCCTAGAAAAAAACGCCAAGGTGGTCGGGATAGCGTTTTTCGCCCAACCGCTTCGCCGAGCCGCCCGTCGATACGTATCAGAACCGTTTCGCGCAGCCGCCAACCTCTTCGCCCAACCGCCAGTCGATACGTATCGAAATCTTTCCGAGCGTTTCTTTCTAGAGAAACGCTGGGCCGCAGGCTGTGAACAATCCTAAGCGCGGTGGATCCGCCGCCCGCACGGCGAAGTATCTCAAAATGAGGCGCGCCGTCATTAGCCGGCGAAGCCGGCTGGTTTCATGATACTCTGCTTATAACTGAGAACCTCACTATCAGTATCAAGGACTATGTGGATGAATTCAACTTCATATGCGTTGACAGCAAAGGATGGATGCGACGACCATTTAGAACAGTGAAAGGAACTTCATATTTTTTGCGAGTACAATAGCTCTCTCGCCCTCCTAGTCACCGATGATACATGACAAAAAAGCGGCGACCAGGGCAAACGAGCGAAGGCATGGGGAAACTGTAAGATGGTCAATGGTCTCTGCAAAAAAGGATACTGCATCCTTTCAGACCAACGAAGAAGCACGGAAAGCAACTAGAAAATGAAGCATCTAGAGAGATCACTTTCGGATCCATAATTTTCCCAAACCCTCCCACCATGTACGGCTACGCTGTCCTAGTCAAGGCTTACCCAACTGGCAGACTGGTATACGATAGAATTGTGTTCTGCAAAGCACATCCAATTGCAACCCTCCGATACGTCTTCTGCTGGGTACGGCTCTACAATTCACAATGGGGACCCTAAGCATCATAATGGTAGCCGTGCTCCTCCACATGTCAACACTATGGCTTTGTTACATCAAGAGGTCCATTGAACTCCTGCTCCGCATCGTCAAATTTCTAATCTCTAAAACGATTGCCACAGGCTGCATACGTCGGATATCACCTGCGCTATCTAGATATGCACATTACGTCGCACGTCGTCGACGCACACGAAAAGCTTTGCCTTCTCTTGTTCTATTGCTTTCACTTCTTCATGTCCTATCACTTCTTTATATCACAGAGAGATGCTCCCAAGTCGTCTCCATGAAAGCCCACGAAGAGATTTGTTCGACTAGGGATGGTATCAAAGCTTGTGCCTTTAACGAGGCAATACTAATCACGCTTCAGCCCCTACAACAGGAAACCTTTGGCGCAGTGAAGGACGACGACAATCTATCGGCGTAATAGTGATGAAGATCAATGGCCTCCAGTTTGAGTGTCGGAAGAACATAGATTTTTCACTCGGGCCCACCACCTGACTTCTGAATGCTACTCGCTGCTACTCTGCAGGAAGCTGCAAAGAGGATGCATGCGAAATTACTTAACCAGCCGACAAATTAAGGTATTTCCATTCACAGTGAATAACGGCCCTCTATACACATTTTGTTCACAAAGTTGTCGAGGTCCATGGTATGTAATGGCTTCTTCTTCTGCCAACTGAGCTGCCTTTCTTACAGGATTCTCGCCGTGTCAACCTCTACAGAGGTGTACACTATTTTCACATGTTCTACTTGGGATATCGATGTCAACATGGATGTAACGGTTCGCGAAAGAGACTTCCTTATCTCAAACAAAATTCAGCTTCATGCAGGACAGACCGCCACATGGATCAGTCTCAGATCCAGTCTCACAGGGACAATTGTTCCGCAACTACCAATATTATCTCCAAGGTCCGCAGTAACGGACTATTCCGTCTCAACAGTCGAACCTGCTTATCGAGGACAGCTCACGCCTCACAGCGGTGGACAATTACGATGGTCCATACACGCCCGCAGAACTGTTTATTTGCTCGTTCTCTCGTAACGCATGCAAATGCACTCATGGTAAACACAAGGCGTCATTCGCCTGAGCTTCCGGTACCGTTGCAGATCTCGCAATCATCGCCACTAACACAGACTTTCAAAAGCTTCATCAACTTCTCCACAAAAATGTTCACTAAACCAATGTTGGACCCGCTTTGCAACTACACTTTGTGGCCGTAAACATTAATGACCCGTCAACCGAACAGCAGTTGCACCATCGAAACTAACGATATCATCGGCTACTACCGTATAGCAGGCACTGAGCTGACATTCCACTGCCACTTCAGTGAACGGGAAGTCATAGTTAATTAAAAGCCCCTTCAAGACGCAGGTAGCGCGCTGTACTATAGGTGGCTACATCAACACCCTAAAATTCCACTTTGACACTTCCACAGTCTCTTTTAAATGCAACGCTTCTTCCCAAGAAGGAATCATGCTCTCACGTGGACGACAACCTTATTATTAGCAACTTATAATCAAACCAGTTGGATCGCAAAGCTGTCGCCAGGCGCTCCTCCTTCTGTGACATGGTCCGGCTTCGCCGGGCGGGCGTGGATTTCGTGCTAAGTTACGGTTCGTCGACCAACCACACTGTTCAAGGTATATTTTGCATCAGCCAAGAACTGAAACGCAACGCCCGTTTTGTCAAGACGCAGAAGCAGTAGCAGCGCTCGCCGCATAAGGAGGAGCGCCGGCGTTAGCCAGCGATCCGACTGGTACGGTTTATAAGTTACACGGGAATAGGGCAGCATGTTAGATTAGCCGCTGAAGGATCCTTTTGATTCATACATCCCCCTCTTAAAGCGTCTTGCTTTGGAATGCACTCCCGCGATCAGCAGAGGAACGCTTTGAATGGCCCTCACTGAGGTTGTTGATGGAAAATAGTTCTGATAGAAGTGATTAAGTCAAGTTACTGCTGTTCATGACATCTCTGTAAACAAACCCATGCATTTAGAATAGAGCTAGCTTAGCGGTCGTACATGGTCCCGGTACTGATGAGGGGTGAGCAATGAGTTGTGTTGGAATCATTGAGATAGTTATACTTGAGTGATATCGATCGCATTGCTGCTGTGAGCGGTGTAGCGGATTTCTTCATGTTAACTCGTCGCTTTCAGCTCCTATCGTTTGCCATCACTTCCGTCACCCGCAGGTAATATCCCCGTCTCATATTACTATCGTATCACCCCAAATCACTTCTCAAAATCACGCTCCCACCGTTGCTATGACTTGCGTTGCGAATTTGGTGCTCCTCTCCTTCCGAGACCACTTATCAGATTTTATCATTTGTTATCACTTTCTTTCACCCGCCAATAATGTTGTGGTCCCACACCCTACATCACCTCTCGGATCCAACGTTCCACTGTTGCCGTAACCTGCGTTGCGAATTTGGTGACCTTCCCCTTCCGAGACCCCTTATCGGATCTCATCAACTATTATCACTTTCTGTAACCCGCCAGTGATGCACCCGTCTCTGCCCCTATACCACTGCTTGGAATCGACTTCCTACAGCAACTGGGACGGTCGCTATGAATTTCGTGACAGACAGACACATAGACAGACAGACATACTTAGCGAAATTTATATAGGAGGAATGGGATTCAACAGAGTTATCAATGGACCCAACATTCAAAGGAGATCTGTGCTCTAAAGTTACCAATTTCATTAGAAAAATAAGAAACCTGCAGATCAGGGGATAGTAGGCTGCAGTCTTGCGATCCCGGGGAGGTCATCACGGCGGTGTTCAAACGGGCCAGAAGGTCTAAATGTGGGGGCAATCCTTTGGAAGACATTCCATCAAAAGGAAGGACTCAACGTCATATCCAATCGTATTCACATGTGCTATTCATCCTAACCCTGTATTCCTCTATTATACTGCTCTACAATTAAACAATTCGGTGCAAGATCCTCTCTCTCTCTCTCTCTCTCCTCTCTCTCTCTCTCTCTCTCTCTCTCTCTCTCTCTACTCTCTCTCTCTCTCTCTCTCTCTCTCTTGTTGACGTTCTTCGCCATCCGATGTATTTATCGCACTGTCATGCTTTGCATACCCTCCGAGTTTTCCAAAAATGACCAATGGCACGCTTTTCCCTTGTAGGAGTTCTCTGCAACTTTGCGGAATAGTAAGAAACCTCGAGTGATTTCTTGTGAATCAAGATGATTTCCATTTCGGTAGATTCCTTACTTAAGACTCGTCATAACACTCTTTCAATCATTATGTTTTGTGTTCCCTTCGCAATACGAAATTTCTTCGTCCGTATATAAGCCCTCCGCATTTAGTGGTATCTCTGGTGCCCTACCTTCAGTCCGTGCGAATAAATCTCATTCAGAGACCTAACCTTCGGAAAAGAGTAGTCAGTGTACAAGTCGGGTGTTTTAATCCTCTCCGACAACTCCAGTACTGACTGGCCTCTTCCGAAGCGGAAAAAAATTGCGCTTGTTCCGGGCGGCAGCCAATCGTGCTAATGCCCGAATCGAGACGTGCTAGGTGGCGCCACTTACTACTACGCTACCTCCGCTCTACTATGAAATCGATGTCAGTGTTGGAAAAATTACAAGCTTAGATATTGCCTAATATTCGTGTTCCATAAGAATAAATATATCAGAACGGACAAAAACGTCACTTCAGAGCTTTTTCAGAGTTTTTTCCGCCGCTGTATACTCACTCTCAAACATGCCTCCACCCATAAAGGCCTTATGGACTGCGGATGTGGTCCAATTCTGGAAGATCAAAAATACAGCAAACGCACGGGCACATAACGCAACACGGGGTTTTCCTTGATTTTCCTTCCAGTACGAGTCACTCTTCCGATCTTTTCATCCTTCACCGTGTCATTCTGAACCAGGTTAATAGCAAATGAAACCTTATCATTTATCCAGGCGTAGGCCTGTTTTCACTGCTAATGCACCAGGGAAAGTTAATAAGTTTATATCGAGTTAGCTCGTTCAATCAGCCTTTCGGGTATGAAGCTTTTTTCCGGTGCTGCATGGTCCCGCTTTGTCACAGTTGAATGAACCACCTTATGAAAGAATCCGTTCATGTGTTTCACCTGTTTTTCAGGTGAATGTGCCATATCATCTCACTTCCTTGGTGTTTTCACTTCCTTGCTCAGAAATCCGTGACAATGGGCTGAAGGGACAACCGTCTGTTGTCTCGCGACCTCGCCTGCACTAATGTCAATGTTTAGCACACACGTCGATACGAATCGAGTTCAGGCTTCGAAACACTATTTCTGCGCGTGGAGAGCAAGTGGCAAGTTACAGCTGCTGTGGACAGCTTTCTTTAGATGCGAAGACCGGGATTCAACATTTACTCTTTGTCTTTGACACCTTGACAACTTTATAAGCTATTGATGGCTCAGGAAAGAGTGGTTTACGTGGGACAATATGAACTACTAACGGCTCGTGTCCCTTTGCACCTTGTGTGGGCTGTTGCCGTTAGTTCTACTAATGTATTTTTTTTTTGTTTCCCAGTCACTTTTGATAGAAGACTTTTAAACAGAGATAAGCAAAGGAACTGTTGCTGGGATATTCAAGACTAAGAGCTCAAATTTTCCAACTCACCACAGCTATTCGTCCAATCCTCGAATGAAGCTCTATTTTGAGCTAAAACCTCGACTTCAGTAAATAATCCTCGCCACAGGCGACATTCTCATTGTCCTCGACAACATATGGGATGAATAGGCGTCAGTTTGGTACTAACAACGTTCTGTTGACCAAATTTGAGATGAGCTCCATATTAGGATTATCGGGGCTTCTAATGTCTGATTACGGGTGAGCATTAGCTTTCACAAAGTGAGCGAAACCTGTCATAGTGTGCGGGGGTACTTGGTATAGCTTGAAAAAGGCGAACAAATAATGAAAAAGCCACATGGCTGCAATAGTTCCAGGTAGGTGTGGATGTGTGGTTGGAGCGTGGTGTACCAGTTTACGACTGCTTGTCTGTGGGTATTGAGCTGCGATGCGGGAATATATAATGAGAGCGCGATTTGCACAGTCTATCCTCCAGTAGGTGGGCGTAGTTGCCCGCGCGATCTAGTCCTCTGTTACTTATTGTGTATTGGTAGAAAAGCAGGAAACGGAGAAAGAATTCTACCGAAACTGAAGTTGTAAGGTGAGATTTTTAAATGCCATACAGGGGGGCCCAAAAAAAAAGACTTTTTCCTCCTTGACTTTCGAGGCGCTATAAAGTTATCTCATTTAAATTTTATGGGACAATTCCACCACCATATTACAGAGCATATCAAATACTATCACGATGCTCCGCCATAGCCTTCTGGACTAGCGCCATTGAGAGATTTGGCCCGCAACCGCGATGTGGTACCTGAGATCAGCGAGATAGTCGATTTCTCCGCCACCGTAGACCACCCTATTGAGCTCCGCCCCGGACCGGGTTATTGAGTGGGTTTAGCTCAGGGGACCTGCTTAGATATTCCACCTTTACAGGTACTCAACGCCCTTCCATTCCGAGTAGCGAGAGTTTCTCCAACATCCTTCAATTCCATGTGGTGGCACCCAATGCTGTAGCAGTACAACCTTTCCAAGAAGGTACGGGGGACGACATGTGGGGGAGATATTCTCCTCAGGTTGCTCGATGTAACTGCCAGCGCTCTCACCTTCAGTCCGGGGTCCACAGAAGAAATATCGGTCTTCCTATCCTAGGTACGTCCGGTCATACCAACAACCGCGCGCCTTGGAGACTGTGGTGAAGATGATGTCCTATACCGTAGCGACGTTGTCGAAGCTGCTCGACGCTGGGGGTCTTGCAGATCAAGAGTACTTGTCTCCAGGTAGCTCTCCATGGGTGACTTAATTCAAGAAGTTCACAGCTGTTTAGAGGTGACGTGAATTCCGAAGGTCATCACCAGTCAGGTTGCGACTGGAGATGGCTTCATATTTTGGTGTACATGAAGGTGATGGGCGAGCGCCAGCTCCTGCTTATAGAGGAAGATCTTGGGTATCTTCCGCCCTGGTACTCATATCCACTTCCTCTGTCTGCGCTGCGAAAACTTCGCTGATATGTGACTCGGTCAGAATGTCTTTTTTTTTGGCCCCCCCCTGTATATGAAGAGAAAGGAGCGAAAGCAGGAGGCATAGTTGCAAGGAGGGAGCTTGCGGTGGTGCCCAGCGCGGATGGAGCATGCTGAAAAACTGCTCGCTCATTTTGCAAAACTTCGCAGAACGCC